CGGGTATTCCCAAATTTGATCATTAGCCGTATCTTGAAAAGAGAGCAGAAGCAAACAGAAAAATGGCGAATCGAAAATAGCTAAGTGCTGCACAGTGAACACTGACAAGCTTTGCACTCATGCTAGAGGCATCGAGAATGTGGCATTGTTCTTAAAAGCCAAAACGGCTCGACTCAGCTACTGGATGCCAACTAATGCTTAATATGAATTAACCTTTAACAGAGGTCCATTTAAATGTGACTCTAATAAATAGCGCAGCAGATAAAGAGTATAACTTGATACGTATGTATGTCAGGACATTATTCTGTATGAAACATTTCAGAAAGTAAGGCCTTAAGAGTTTTTCTTTTTCCATATTATAAAAATGTTAATAAGAATATTTCTTACATATCTAGAAATAATATCTACTCAGTGTAAGAAAATTGTAGATATTTGACTATTCGCTAATAGTTCTTAAAAAAATTCTTTTTTCAGTAGGTATAGGGTATTTGAGCAACTACTTGGCTTAATAATCTAAACTAAACTTCTGAAATATCTCAATATATGCATATAGAATCGGAAAAATATATGGAAATAAAAGTGTTAAAAAAATCCCATTCAAAATTATGAAAACTTTGTAAGAAAAGATAATAACCCAAAGCCACGACAGTAAAAGTAACATGTGATGAAAAAATAACAGCAGTAATTGTATACTGCAAAACTAATAAACTAAAGACTCCAGACAATATTCGTTGAGGAACAAAAAAATTTGAATTAAAAAAACTGATTATAAGAGGTACTCATAGCAAATTACTTAAAAAAAAAAAATGATACATAAATACATACCATATAACATATATTTAGCTTATCAATGAATATTAAAACAAAACAAGTAACATCTTGTAGATAATAAAAAAAAGACATTTGACTATATAAAAATAAGTAAAAAGGCTCCTAACGATTTCTTATTTAAAAATTGGTTTCTTCAATGAAAGCTATAAAATGTCAGTGTCAGCAGTTTACAATATAGATATATCCAATCAATATAAAAATATAAAGGTGTATCTATTTGTATTTCTATAAATTTCTACGCCTCAAATATTTACTTGTCTGCAAGTAGTAAAGAAAAAAATTAAAGAAGTCATAGGAAGGCACTTAATTGCTGGATAAGGTCAATGTAAGTGTGTCTAAAATGCGTAAAAAGAGAAGTCTTAGGAAACTCTCGACTAATAACCCATTAAACAAGTTAATTAAGAAGAGTAGGGAAATATAGATGAATACATAAACATTTGTAAGTTAATTACTGCATATACATATACATATACATATGTATATATAAATGTATATAGTATGTGTATATTCGAAAAGGGATCGTTATTAGTATTGATTTATTTCTCTAGAAATTCTGACAGCCAGCACCTGGTTAAGAGAGAGTTCAAAATACCATGCTTTTTTTCTCGCTTATAAAGGTTTCTCACTAAAACGAAAACACGTTGATTTTACGTTTAAACATTATAAGTTGTTGTAAGAGCTTTACTGTTCGTTGCAAATGATATTTATGAACTGCAGGGAGAATGACAACTAAGTTAATACAGTTAAATATTATTTCCTTGAATTACAAAAAAACAACATAGTTCCTGATTCCAGAAAAAAAGAATGAGTCCAACATAGGAAAATTGTCGCTTATAGAGGTAAATACAAAAGAGGCTCTCAGTTATAGAGGCCAGAGTAAGAAAAAAGACTGTCACTTGTGGAGGTTTTTCTTGCTCACTCATAGAGATTTTTGAGAGGTGAAAGTTCGGAACCTGAGAATTATTCACACTTATAGAGTTTTATCGCCAGTTTTATAGAGTTTACCCAGTTCTCTCTTACTCAGGTTTGACTGTATTAATAAATTTCGTGTCCTTTATAGATTGTTATAAATATAGGTGGCAACCTTCACTAAAATATTTTTAACTAACATTTCCAATTTGAGTTATTTAAAAAAAAAAAATAAACCAACATTTTTTTTTCTCATTTTCAAACAAGTGGCAACCTTGTCAAAAGTATTTTTAACTGATATTTTTAGTTTGACTTCTGTTTAATTATTTTAAAATTTTTTAACTAACAAATTTTGTTTTATTGAACAGGTGGCAACCTTCTAATTTAATTATAAGTGCTATATATAATATACATACATACATACAATATTATATACAACTAATTGTATCTAAATACATATAGTATATATAGTTATATACATATGTATGTATATAGATACACATATAGGTATATACTTTCACACATGAATACATACATATGTATGTTATAAGAGTAGTGCACTTCTCTCCAAATAAACTAGAATCTATTGAGAAAGCGCTTTGTATTCATTAAACAATCATGTAATGTAATGATAAAATCATTAAGAATTCTAACTAAATATCTAATTAAATAAATATATATGTATATTGTGTTATCAACAACATGCATTTTATTTATTTGCGGTAGTTTGCTTCATCAAGTAATAATAATATATTAACGATTTTAGTTTTAATTTTATTAATATTTTTAATTTTTTTATAACAAAAATTACTTTAATTGCTCTTAGCTTCCGTAGTGAATAGATGCATTTTTATTTAATGCTTAGTAAAATTTTAGTAGCTAGCACAAAGCTTTATAGATACATATTTTTATTAGATTTTTCTCAACCTCTATATGTTTAGTAGCTAAAAGAAACAGTATTCGTACTTTTATACTATATAACTGCAAATGTAAATAAGAAGAAAATCTAAACATCTTTCGGAATTTAAGTTTAGATTTTTTATTTTTTATATTACATGCAATCTCTTTCAGAATACATATGGTTTTTGATCCTGACGACGGAGAAATAAATAATAATAATTTTTTAAAAAGTCTTTGATGAAATTTACTTTTTTATAACATTGGCTAAATCTCTAAAAATCCATAATTAGCGGCGACCAGAAATAAATAAGGCCAGAGCTTACAAGGACCCCAGTTTATTTATGGCTTTTGCAAACGAAACTGTCATATTAGGTCTAAACTTTCTGGTTCGTCGTTGTAACTTCAAAACCCTTGTAAATACTAACAAGAAGTATGTGTTATTTATGACCAGAATATACATACATATATGTTTTTAGATCCTAATGAGAGAGAAAAATAAAAAATATATTTCTCTAAAAAGTTCTTGCTGAGGTTCATTAAAATTAAATATTTTTTTCACCCGATATACATACATGTAACGCTCGATAAATTTCTAAACATCTATCATGTCAGGCAACCACAAATGAACAAGGACAGGTCTTACAATGGGTTAAGCTTCTTTATGGAGTTTATAAGCGAAACTCTAACGTTTGCCTAGTATAATTAACTTTTCTAGATCTAAACACTTTTGGTTCGTCGTTATAACTTCAAAACCATCATAAATCCTAACAAGTATTATTTTTAATTTATGTCTATTTTGAAGCGCAGATAAACATCGTTTTTCGTCTTTAAAAAAATGTGTATCTTATGAAATGCTGAAACATACTTACTTGACAAAAATTACAAGGTAAGTAAAAAAAAAATTGGTTGAAGGCGATCTTGTACCTTATTATTAATAGTATTTTCGTACCCATACGAAACATGTGGGTACTCCTTGAAACTGAATATACATAATGTAGTGCCTAAGCTATTCGTAGATACCAGTAGATACCATATCAAATGATCATATTCATTTCATTTAAGCGAAAACATATGTCACTTGCTAAGTATCCAGAGAGTGCAATGGAGACGTAGATATAGAGAGAGCTTAGAGATCCAAACAAATATATGCATATTTACTACAATATGTCTACTTTACTACGATTCAAGTCTTACTCTCCAGCGAATCGAACAAACTATACTACATATATGCTGAAACAAATGGGCAGCACTTGTGCCGCCACCCTGTGTTAACATGTCTTCTAACGCATGCGCTACAGTGGTTTGATTCTTTCTTAGTGGAGAAGTTTAAAAAATGTTGCTGTAACACTTTATATTTGTTTTCTATAAATTACTAAAATTGATTTTAAGCCAAGAAAAAAAAATTGTATTTTCATTTGAACGATTCAAAATAGTAAAAGTGATCTAAAATATGCAAAAAAAAAAACTTGGTAGCATTAAAGACAGCGACTATACCACTTTAATGAGATATCCGCATACTCTCTTTTACGAATTCAATTCGATAACTTTGTTGTTGCTTCTACATGTAATTTTTTGACAATCGAGCAGAGAAATGGCGAATCGTAGACAGCTAGTGTAAGTTGTATACATATTCTTCTGAAATGTGTGGTTCGAGAGTTCTATCTTATTTTGATATAGTGACAATATTCTCTGATATATGTTTATTTTAAAAATTCTAAAATATTTAATATTAATGTTTAGAATGTAAAATACATATATAGAAAGGTTTAGTATTCTGTGCAAAGTTCCAATTAGGTCAAATATGTTATTGAAGCATGAGTTAGATGGATTTAGGTATTAGAACGCTTTACTATGCAGAATGAAAATGTTCAAGTAACGGTTTCAGGTCGGTAACACTATTCCGCACTGTATTTTTCAAAGTATGTAATACGAAATTACTAATAAATTCAGAAAAAATATTTCAAATAACAACGAACAGCTCATTTGCGTGATTACCTTTTAGTCATAAATTCTTAACTTAACGTCTGTTAATAATAAAATTATGCACTTGTAACAACTAAGTTACATACATATACATCATACTGTGAATATCAATAAATACATTAGTATGTACATATTTTTGCTTTCCAAGTGACGCACCCTGTCTTCACAATTCGTTGTGTGGGTATAAGTCTATTAGTATTTCTCATTTCTAATAAATTTTTTAAATTTATAAAACAACTGTTAATCTGGCTTTCTTATTACCCTCATAATATGCCATTAATGTTAATAAGTTTCGTAAATTTTTTATGACTAAACACTTAAAAGCCGCCATAATTATTTGTTATTTTGCTTATTAACGAGTATATTACAAAACTTACCTCCCAGTAACGCTTAATAATCGTCGGACTGAACAACGATGGTTTATTCAGAGGGGTTCTGGGTTCTGCAAAATTTAATATTTTTTTTTTTTGTAATTAATTATTTTTAAAACCTACGTCTTAGAATACTTACTGAGGCTGTGTTGTAACTGTGTGCGCATTACCATCTGGAACATTTTTTTATGTTTAATTTTTTTTCACAATGAGTACATATATTTTTACATACCGGGTTCGGTCGCACTACCAACTGGCGCAGCATGGCTTTGGACATCAATTTGTTAAAGAGTGGACGGGAAGACATGTTTAAATCTGAAATAAAAATATGAGATTATCAATATAAATATAATTGGTAATATATGTAATTGTGAATGAGAGGATATTTATAATTGATATTAAACATTTTTTATTCAAATGTATTTACTTTTTTCTATAATCAAATAAGATCATGATAATTTAATTCATATAAATTCCCCTGTGGACCGAAATTCTCAAAAGAAATTAAGACTGGCACGGGCATGATCTAAGACGAGATCCAGATACAATCACCCGGAACACTTTCGCCTGAAATCGACAAGGCAATCGATGGAAAGGCCGACCTGCTATAACATGGAGAAGGAATTGAGACATTGAAATATCTAATGGCTAAAAATGTTGTAGTCAAATTGGTTTTTTGAAGATTTTATTGAGCATAATAGCTTTGTTTTTATACCCTGAACAGGGTATATTAAGTTGGCCTTGAAGTTTGTAACACCCAGAAGGAAGCCTCGAAGATTCTAGAAAATATAAATCTAAATGATGACGAGCTGAGTAGGTTTAGCCATGTCCGTTTGTCTGTATATACGTGAACTAATTCCTAATTTTTTTATATATCGATCTTGAACTTTGTACACGTCTTTTTTACCCCAAGAAGCTGCTTGTTTGTTGGAACCGCCGATATTTGACCACTACAGTATATAGCTGCCATACAAACTGAACGATCGGAATCAAGTGCTTGTATGGGAAACGTTTGTATTTGAGGAGATATCTTAACGAAATTTGGCATGGATTATTTTTTAAGGCAACGGTACAATCTGCGAAGTAATTGTTCAGATCGAGTCACTATAGCACATGCTACCATACAAACTGACCGATCAAAACCAAGTTCTTGTAAGAAACTTTTTGTATTTGTGAAGGATATTATATCTTCGGTGCAGCCGAAGTTAACGTTTTTTTTAATTATATTTTTTCTTTTTACTTTACCAGTGATAATGTAATACAATATTTGCTAGTGAGTGTTGTCAAAAACAAAAGCCATCTAACACTTGAATTATTATTATCAATTAATTATTATACTCAATTAGCAGTTTTTTGTGATATCTTCTAGACGTAGGATGCAAAACACTTCGTCAGCATGAGGCAGTCGAATCATACATATGTGTAACGCTTTAAGACTATTTAGTCTTTTTTGAAAATTAAATACTTTTGAGACTTACTATATTACATGCTTGAATTTTCAACACCCTGCTAATTCGCTTAATTTTCAATAAAAATCAGGTTTGTTTTGTTGTTTGTATGTGTGAATTGTTGACGGAGCGTGGGCAAAACTGGTTGGTTGAAAAGTGAGTAGTGCTCACCAAGAAATAGCACTATTAGCTCCAAATTTATTCTGTCGTGAGAACACATGCAAAGTTATAAGTCATTCTGTCAATTAGTACTTCATTTGAAGTTGAAGTGGCAGTGTATTTTTTTAATATGGAAAAAATTGAATATCGCGCAGTAATTAGATTCTTTGTTTTGAAAGGATCTACCACCATGATTCTAAATTGAAACAACAACGTTTACAGTGGACTGAAACTGGTTGTTCAGCTCCAAAGCAGGTGAAGTCACAACGATCAGCAAAGACGGTTATGACATCAGTTCTTTGGAATAGCTAGAGATTATAATGAATAAAAAAATATATTTCGTACCAAAAACGTTATGTTTTCATTTCGAAAGCAGACATATTTCAACCGACCTGTATACATAGTCAATATATGGTATACAAGAAAAAATTGGGGGAGTTGCACGCTACTTTACAAATTATAAAAGAAAGTCGTCCACCGCTGTAGTGAGGGCTATTTCCACCGTCACTCAAAAAAAATCATAAATAAATAAAGTTGTTAATCAGACTTTGAAACAGGATTTCGAAGTTTGCTAAAAAATTAGATGATTTTTGAACCAAATTATATTATATATTTCATACATAAGAAACTGGAGGGTGTTTATAAAGAGAATTCGAAATTTCACCTTAGGTTTGCCACTTTTGTCTTGTAATAGGTTAAAAAAATATAAATGAATGTTTTCAAAAAAGATACTCACTAAATACCTGATGATTTTTGAAACATTTCAAAATTATATTTTATATGAAACCAACCTTTACAAAAAATATGTGCAGTAGTATATTTTCTTAATATTTATAAATTTAAATGAGATTCTTCTACTTCTCAATAACTATACTTACTTATGCGACAAACATACCTTTATATTGAAGCGCATTGAAACATATTATTAGGAACTGTAGAAGTTAAACCCCGAAAAGAAATACTGTATGGTAAAGTGAGTCATGTTTGAAACAATTGTCTGCCGATTTCTACAGTGTAGGGTATAGGAATTTCTAGTTGAAAAAACAGATAAAGCAAAAGACAGAGTAAAGGTATAACAGCAAAAGATTAAGCACTAATTCATTTTAGTCGGACGTAATTCGTTACTGAGAGAAAAACATGTTTCTGTTAATAAATAATGGAAAACTGTTTTCAAATTATTGCGTTGTAATCGGTCCTTGACCAAGTCTGTGCAAAGTTTCAAGCTGATCAGACTTGTGGAAACCAGTGAAAATTGATTCCATTACATACATACATACAACCAAAGCTAATATAAGCGTGGTAAAAAAACTTTAATATTCCTGTTTTGAAATTAGTAAAATTTGGTTATTTCTGTAGTTTCTGTATATATATGGAAGGGCATATCCTCTAACCTTGATTGCTAGTTTCAGCTAATGAGTTGAACAAGTAAAACCAATTTGCTTATCACTTTATAAAATTCACTTGACGCTTAACAGCAGCTAATATCCGTTGAATGACATCACTATTCGTTCAACTACTTAATATTTTTGTTTCCATAAAAATGATCATGCATAAATAACCGTATATGATTTCCTTATTTTGTTTTTGCGCTTAGTCTGCAGCTAATTATAGCCACTTTAGTTGTTTTTATTCACATATTAATAAAGCTATATTGATTTTCCGATAATGATAACGCTATGATGGCTTAATTGCCATAAATGCAATTTATGAGTGAACTCACGCCAACTCAAATATATTATAGTAGCACCCAATGCCCTTCGAGCGGTTGTGTTTGCTTCACTTTGTTGCTTTTTCATATTCTCTGTTCCATTAATAAGAAAATTCTAAATAATTGGATATATTAAAACTTTTGTATGTGTTAAGTGAACATTATTCTAATAAAGTTAAAAATTGTTCATTAAACGCATGGAGAGTTGGCTTGTGGTAATGCGAAATACAAGTTTACATTATGCTCGGGAATTTCTTTGAAAATTAAGCACTAATATCAAGAAAGCCGAAGCTATAATACCCTTCATAGGTTGAAGTTCTCTTGGAAGAACTTGATTTGGATCGATGAGTTTGTATCACAGCTATATGATATAGTGATCCAATCTAAACAATTTCTTTCGGAGATTATATTGTGGCCTTAGATAATAATCCGTGCCAATTTTCGTGAAGGTATCTCGTCAAATAAAAGAGTTTTCCATACAAAAATGATAGATACATGCTATATGAGTAGTCCAATATCGGCGGTTCCAGCCAATGAGCAGCTTCTTGTGGAGAAAAGTTCGTATGCAAAGTTTCAGAGCGATATCTCAAAACCTGAGGCTATACAGACAAAACCGGAGACAGACTAACAGACATGGTTAAATTGAAACAGCCGTTCAGGTTATAACAAATGGTGGAATATAAAAATGAGTAGTTTTATTTCATTTCTCAACAACAGTTCGTTAATTGAACAAAGTGTTGTGGAGAATTATGGCATTTTCAGCCGACGTGTGATTTATGAAAACATGACATGATGCTTAGAGACATTCATCAATTGGATTTACAGCTATTTCCAATGTGCATTAATACTGTTACGATAGATGAGGCTGGAGTCGAGATAGGCGAGTGTTTTCAAATCCTCTTGGAGCTTATTTGTTATTTCCCACTTTTTAACTTCAAAGAAATTTGCCTCTATATATTATTTCTTATGATTAATGATTAGTGTATTTATATTTGTATGCTATTAAATAAATATCCTTTGAACTAGCTCAGATAACAATTGGCCTATGAGTCTTCCGGTTCCACATTATCTTTTTATATATAATACTAGGCGAGCGAGCGAAGCGAGCGTCCCGGAGTCCGCTCCCCGCCGAGCGCGAGCTAGCTCGCTCTTATGTTAGTTGATTCTCGACAGCAGCAGAAAACTTTTATATATAATAGAGAGATATATCCTGAGTATCAGTATTAAGTTCGGTGTTGTCCGGGTCCTTTATCGCGTTTTTACTAAAGTGAACTGTTTTGCCGAACCAACTTTAAAAAACAAAAACAAAAACAGTTTTTAATGTTTTTTTGACTAGGTCGATCTCAGACTAGAATTGTTATACATATATTATTTTTTACTGCATGGAATGTATCAAAATCGTAGGGCCAAGAGTAAATACTCTATCATGTTTTCTATTGTAGGTAGTAAGATCTTCTACGAAGCAGGCGATTTGGTTGGGGTCGAAGCGCTTTGGCGATATGCGATGGTCTTTTTGCTCCAAGTGTGATCACGAATATCAGCTTGATTACCTAAACTAACTATGGAAGTGACATTTTTTGAATATTATAGAGTAAATTTTTACTAATTCCAAGACTAGTATAAGTCAACTTAAAACTTTAAAACGTTACTTGAAGACTGTTTACTTAGCAATAATTTAACCTAAACATTCAATATGTATTGCCCTGAAGTATTCGAGGATAAGTAGAATAAGGATGATTTTGCAATTATATATATATATATATAATATATCAATGAACATTTTCACATTTGTATATAGATGCAAATAAAGGAAATAAATTTTGTTTCTACATACTACAAGCTGGTATATTTTATGTGCATATAATTGCATATAGACATGGCATATGGTAAACTAACTATTTGTAACGTTCCAACACCTATGGCATACGGCTGATGCGGAATGATGACAACTTACGAATTAAATAGTAAGTTAAAGCCTATTGTGGGTAATAGAACCCATTTACAGCATTGGTTATGGCCGCAGTAAGCACTAAATTGGTTTCAATTCCATTAAGCGATTATTAATAAAAAAAGGAATTGAAGAAGCTACTTAAAAACTGTTATAAAAAACTTTTTATAATGTAAGTCTTTCCAAGGTAAGTAATCTGATGGATTCTGGCAACAATGTTGTGGCAGGGTTGTGGCCATAACAACTACTGGGTGCGTCCTGGGTTAAAATCCCAAATGAGTCTAAAACTAAAATATTCTTGCGGAAAATAATAGTAAAGCAAAAACCATTAACGGTTAGACTAAATACATAAAGCAGTGGTAAGCGTAAAATTATCGCAACACTTTAATGCGTAAGTCGATAAACCAAACGGTACTGATAACAAAATTAGAGAATTATACAATCAGGTCTATGCATAAACATGTAAAATTATAGTTCAAAAGTTAACCGCTTTGAATAGATAAAAATCTAACATAAGCAAAAAAAGCGTTAACTTCGGTTGTGTCGAAGTTATAATACCCTTCACAGGTGCATTTTTTATGGCATAGAATAGAAATAAACAGAACTTTATCTTGATTTTGGTCCGTTAGTGTGGCAGCTATATGCTAGGTATAGTGGTCCGATCTGAACAATATATTTTGGTATTGCCTTGTAAAACCTACCTAGGGTTGCCTTGGATAATAGTCCATGCCAAATTTCGTGAAGAAAATTTTTCCACAAAAAAAGTTTTTTATACAAGGACTAGGTTTTGTTCGGTCAGTTTTTAGGATAAAAAAATATGCACTAAGATAGAATGCCTGAAAATATATTATACAAAAATGTGACCATACAAAAATGTACATACAACGATTTCATAGTAACACGCAACTTTTATGGCTGCCTTAAGCTTCACCTTGCCAATTTCCTTTACCCTTTCACATTTATAATATAGTCCGCTCTGACAACACCGACAGCTGTTTGGGTGTACATATATACAATATTTATTTATAAACATGATACCCTTATCTGCACTCAAATGTAAAGTCAACACACTATAATGAAGTCTCATTTATTTGTATATCCTTTGTCAAATTGATTACTGGAATATTAACACTCTTTTGGCATTTCAGAAGAATATCAATGCTCAAATAAATATTAGATTAATCAGTAAATACCAAATATTTAAAAGGCATTCTGAACCTTGTTTTGCCTTTCAGCTCTGAATTACAAACTTTTCTAGTAGATGTGTACATATGTTTATATAATATTATATGTATAGATTAGCCAACTTCGAAACTTGTTATCATATTTATTGGCACTCGGCCGATATAGCTCTGTGCGCGACTACTACTTTGTTTATCAAGTTTTCAAATCTTTAATGAGCCAAAATTAAACATTTTTAAATTTCTGTTTCTATGCGGGGCATCTCTAAATTTAAAGCCTTTGATAAAAATTCAATTAGTGCTCAAATATTGGAAATAGTTTGGATAATTTGAATCAATCTCTAATTATTAGTATCTGGTTATGTTGAAATCTGGAATAAAGTCGATGTGCTGATAAATGTAAATGTATACTTTGCTTAATGTATACTACACTTTACCTAAGTCAAACAGATCTCCAAGTAAACAAATATTAAGACAGCAAGCTACGAGAATGCCAGAGAGCTAAATAAAAACTATCAATCAAACCTATTTTGTAAACAAAACCGACGTGGATGCATTTTGTTAGCATTCGCTAAAGTGACGTCAGCGAAACAGCTGATCATAAGTTGAACTCTTAGCTGGAAGATGTTGCATTGTGGATTGCTTTAACTCGTAGCTTGAAACACAAAAATGTATACGTAATTGTAGATATCAAGACCGTAGTCACAGTTTTTATACACATAACATGGTATAATAAATTTTCCACGATGTTTGTAATACCCATAAGGCAACGTCGGAGTCCCTATTAAGTAAATAATCAGCGTGGAGAGTCGACTCGATTTAGCCCGGTCCGTCTGTATATATCTCTCAGTTTTTGAGATGTCGATCTGAAATCGTGCACACGCCTTTTCTCACCAAGAAAATGCTCAGTTATCGGAACCGCAGATATTGGTCCACTACAGCATATAGCTGCCATACAAACTGAACGATTGGAAAAAGTGCTTGATGAATTTTGTTTTGAAATTGCGAAAGTTTTGAAACAACTGTGTTAATAAAAAGCTAAATATAATTACTAGTTGGTTATTGAATTTTATTTCTTATACATATCTGCACAATAACCCAAAACCATTTCATATATTATTCCTTACTGATATTAAATATTTATTAAATGGTAGTATTAGAAGATTTAATTACAAAAAATTAAAATGTTATGAAATAAGTTATTTATATTACATATTTATTTGTATATTGATTTCTATTATTTAAATTAATTTAAGAAACTCAAATTAATATATTCTATATTTTTGCTTAAGAGCACACATTAGAGTAGAGTTTGTTTCATTATATATATAATTTAAGATTTATTATCTGAATATCAGTAAATTTTTATGCGTAATATTCTCTTTGTTATTGAACATTTCTAAAATATATTTCATTTATCAAATATGACTGATTGATACATACACTTTAAATTTGCTTTCTTTCAAAATCTTCCCACCACTCTTTCTAAAAATAACACAAAAACTCAATTACTCCAACCACTGCTTTATAGAAACAATTTAATTTTCGTTTTGAAGAACATGTCTCCATACAGTGCTACACTCATTCCACACTTATTTTCCACCCATTCCGTCTGCCCTTAAATAAGGTTAACGGCGCAAACGAAACTCATAGTAGTAAAATAATATAATTACTAGCTTTATATAGATAATATTGTATTATGCCAGCAAAAACGAAACATTTTATGAAAACGTTAAACTTATGCGGGGCAACAGGTCGCCATGGATAGGCTTTGAAATTACACAATTTAGTTTTTTAGGAATATTTTGAAAACACTGTACACACACACACACAAATCGAATTCAATACAATTTTTCCCGCTCATTTTGTTGGCACTGACAACTCGCAGAAACTAAAAGAAATTTAATACTAAAAACATTAAGCACCTTTTGTGACAATGTTGACTTTGAAGAGTTAAAAAATTAATTACTATTTGCTTAATATTTAATATAGTAATGCTTGTAAATGTAGTTCACAAAACTTTGCACAATTACGCTGTTGGGCTGTCTTCAGAAGACTAAACACAGCAATGACAGCAACCAATAAGGAAAACTCGCTTTCAGCCGCCTCGACAACGCGGCGTATGCTTAACCGCTACAATGGCACACACGCACGCACGCACACATATACATATATAAATGGCGAACGGACTTTTTGTGTGTTTTTGGGATGAAGGCGGTTGATATGCACCCTCACCTTAACAGCATTGTTGTTGGCAGTTGCCGCCTGCTGACTAGCGTTAGCTGATTACATAAGGTGGGAGGACGTACGTTTCGACACGTTCAAGCGCTCAACAAAACGTGCTGTTGGCCGGCCATCGACTGCGGAAGTGTGTGGCAGATACTTTAATTTTAATATTTTTTCAAAAATAGTGCAGTTAATTAATTTATTAAAGCAAAAAATTAATAAAAAAAAATTGCATGCAAAGTTCACACATGCCTTGATCAATAAACATGTGTAAACATATATTCAACATGAGCTCATAATTAAGTACATACACATACATATAGTAAATTAGTATGTACATATGTAAGTATGTCTGTTTGTCACTATGAATTCATTCATAAAATTCTAAATTTATTTTGAAACATTTTCCACGCAAAGCGTAAGAGCTGACTAATGTAAAAAGGCCTGCGAGAGTAGCGCTCTATCCAACAGTGATAGTCATATTCACAAACAACAACAACAGTGTTTTTCTTATCACAGTGACTGCTGGCAATAACACAACGATTAGTATGCGAAATGTGCGAAGCAACAACACCATGCCATGTGGGCAGCACCGAAAGCACAGCTAGTGAGCGCATAATGAAAGCTACTTCTATGACAAAATTAAAAAAAAAGTACGTCTGTATATCAAGCCATAAACAAATTGATGACAAACGCTCCGCTTTTTTTCTTTTTCCGCAAAAACTGCGTCATCGGCGGGAATTCTCTTCTTCGCTTATAGCACTTAATACAAACACAGTGGCGTAGGGTAAAAAAAATAGTAAGTAGGTAATCAAATTTTTATAATTTTTGTATTAACTTTTTTGTGTCAATAAATCAAACAATTTATTGAAGGAAGCTTTTGGCGAACGCATTATCACGCGTCGTGTCTTACAAGATCGTGTGATTTAACACCGCTGGACTATTTTTTGTGAAGTTATGGCGCATACTTTTCTTAAAAATAAAGCCAAATTCTTAACCATAACAATAAATTATATGCGTTTTATATCTTCTTGAAAACCATAAATCTAAAAAAACACCATAGCCGATTTTTCTGCCATTAAATTTGATGAAATACTGAAACCCATGCGTAAGGGACACAATTGAAAACAGTCATTAACGTTTTGAATGCTATCGCTTATGATTATTATTGATTAAGAAATACTGTCATACATATGCCAAAACCTTCATACATATAAACAAAATACAGTTGAAATAGTCACATTTGTGGTGCTGTACTTACAAGTTACTTATACGCCCCCACCAACTCTATGAATATATGAGGTTTTGATATGATATGATTTGCGTTTTTGTATTTATATTTAAGCGATAATTGTAATTATATTTTCTGATTAACAAGTTTTCAGTATTTTGATAATTAGTTCGATGACATAACATTCAAATATACATACATACATACATACATACTTATGTATTTTTCTGTCTTTAATGGAGGAAAGGGAATATTAAATCAATCAAAGCAAAGAGTAGTAATGGGCAGTTCGGCACTGTAATATTAGTTTTTCGGTCTTATAGGTAAGAAATTCGTTTTTTGTAACAGCTTTTTGTAGGATTGCGTTTAAAAAATACTACGGAATACTTATATAATAAGAATTACTATAAGTGGTAAACGTTAGATAACTGAAGGATAGTTATACTTCCAAATGATTTCTATTTTATATTCATATATAAATAAAGTTATATGCCTTCTCTAATTGTTTTACCTAACATAAAAATCTTCGTAATTATTTTTATAATCATAGCGCTCGTTTCTAATATTAAACAAGAAAAAGCCTTAACTTTGGTTGCACGGAAGTTATAATATCCTTCACCAATTTCTAATTATTCCTTCTTTCCTTACAAGAACTCTTCTAATCGGTCAGCAGCTCCATTTATTCTATAGTGATCCGATCTGAAGAATTTCTTGTATTGTACCATTGACTTAGACAACAATCCGAACCAAATTTCGGGAAAATATCTCGTCAAATAAAAAAGATTTCCATTCACTTTATTCCGATCGTTCACTTTGTATGGCAGCTATATGCTAAAGTGATCCGATATCGGCGATTCGGGCAAATGAGCAGTATCTTGGAGGGAAAAGGACGTGAGAAAAATTGGAGATATAAGCATATATATTTTAAAAACTGAGGGACTATTTCGCATATATACAGACAGACGCACAGCCAGACGGACATGGCTAAATAGGCTCAGCTCGTTACGCTGCTCATTATATCAAGTTTACGTAGGATTTATAGGATTTAAGACGTTTACTTCTACTTGTTACAAACATCGTGGCAAACTAAATATACCCTGTCTAGGGTATAAAAAGTGAGGTAAGCAAACTTCAGCATATCAAATTTTTTTCTACAGCTCATAAACAAATACATCTCTTAAGCGACTTAAAATTTATTGCTAATTATATGCATGTTCAGCACTCATTTGCATATGTGTATGAACAATTTCATTCGAAATCATTTTCAGTTAAGTTCTAAACAAGAGAATTTGTGGTCATTAATTAAACTAATATTAAAAAATCGTTTTTTAATCGATATTTTATATCTTTGCGAATAGCATACTAAAATTTTAAATCGATATACCAAATAGTTTTAGCGGTTTAGTCCAATCAGCTCCATCAGTTATCTTTAACCGCGTTTTCAAAACCACATTTTTTAAATTTGCTTTAGCACTTACTCGGAGACAAATGATCCCATTAAAATTAAATTTTTTTTACAGGATTTGTATATACATATTGATCCATACAATACTCAAAAACAATCTACCAGTTTTAATTGGATCAAAAAATTGCGAAAATTTTGGGTAAATTCAAATTTTTTAAAACGGTGATATTTTGAGAATTTTTGTTCCTTTTTTCAACTGTAGGCAATTGTATGAACAACAACCTTTTTACTTTAATTTGTTTTAGGTTTCAAACACGGAGAAGGCCGGAATCACTGCAGCAGTAGAGCACATTGTTTTAGGTTGTCACACTAGTTGTGCACCTTAAAGTGGCATATCTACTCTATCTAGTCTCTTTTATTTATACCAGCCGCATGTTCGATTTGCTACTCTTCCAAGGTCTGGCGAAACGAAGACAGTTATGTTAGTACATATTTTATCAACTTATGACTTTGGCGGGCCACAGTGCCGCTTTTTATGAATTTCAACTGACACAGCACGCCACTGTGTTCATCGTCAAATAAGCGCGCGCCCAACCAGCCAAGCTGGAGATGTGTTAATATTGCGGTAGAGAGGCAAATATGGCTGTTTGTTTAAGATTGAAGCAAGCAGAAATAGCAACGAAGTAAATATCGAAAACATACAACTCAATAAAAACAATATTGAGAACAGCAACATGCGAAAAAAAGTGATTTGTTTTGGCAAAAAAAAAAAACGAAAACATCTATACATAAAGAAAATAAATTACAACATTTTTGTAAATACTGGAAAATCGTGTAAACAATTTACATTCTATTTATACAATACAAGCGAATACACAAATGCATAGACTTTTCATTTTTACAGCATTGATAGACTTTACTATTGTTTTTAGTAATCAACATGTTTGTAAGTGCAAATGTACACATGTAGTACATGCATATAATATGTATATGATAAGCTTGCCGGTCACTCGTTTTCAAAATGTACTCAGGCATGCAATCGGTAATTCACGTGAACTGAACAAACTAAAATTCCTATGAAAGTTTCAAGCGGTACGACTGCTTTCGCAAATTGTGGGGGCATACGCGCGGAATTCACAAGAATTTTTTGTATGACATACATATGCAAGCATGTATTTCAACGTATGGATTTGCATATATATGCATGTGTGTGTGTGTGTAAACGCATCGTTTGGGCAGTCAACGCGCTTGCGATCACGTATGCATTGGCAATAGTTTAGGAGAGAAGTGGACGCCGTCGCGAGAGTGGTAATTTCAAAAGAAATAGCCGTAAATTGTACAACAACACATTCATATATGTACTTATATTTGTATTATAAATAAAGTCTCCGGAAATCTGACCGATTAAGTGCAAAGAAAATTGTTGTTGCTAATATAAGGCGCTCGATTGGCAACAAGTGCTGGACGCTTTGGGGTTTCAAAGTTTTGGGGTTTGGGGGTAAAGCAGTGGATTAGACGTCACGTCGTGTTTGCTGAGAAATGCCTGGTGATATTTGTTGTCTAGTTCTTAGTATAGTATTAAGTAAGCAAGTATTTACGTTAACATCAACAACAAAAAATGTTAAATTTGGCTGCGCCAACGCAATAATGCCCTTCACAGGTGCATTTTTTATAGTATAATAGGGTATAAAGAGTTATTTATCCTGATTTTGATCGCTCAGTTTTTATGGCAGCTATGTACATAAGTATATGCTATAAGGGACCGATCTGAACAATATGTTCGAAGATTGTAGCGATGCCTTGGATAATAATCTACGCCAACTTTTGTGAAGATACCTAGTCAAACAAAAAAGTTTTTCATACAAGGACTAAAGCTTGATCGGTCAGTTTGTATGGCAGCTATGTACATACTTATATGCTATAGTTGTCCAATATCGGCGGTTCAGGTAAATGAGAAACTTCTTGGTGAGGATAAGGCGTGTGCAAAATTTCATTGATATCTTTTATAGTGTCTCCGACGTTTCCTTTGAGGTGTTACAAAAATCCTGGCAAACTTAATATACCCTGTTCAGGGTATAACCAGCAAGAGACTAGAAGTCGTTAGCTTTCGATTAGCTTGTACACACAAAAGACCTTCAAATGTCCTTTTACATTTATGTATGTATATACACATGCCTAACGACCCACAGAGTAACGGTAAAAAAGTATATGTACATATGTATATATATAGGTACAACGTACATATGTATATATATATGTATGTGTGAAGCGAAGGCGACAGCCAAAC